GTCAACCCTGAGCCGGTGAGATTTGAACCGCTGACCTGCTGATCTAGCAGTAGCCTGCAGTGCTGCATTTAACCACTGCGCCACCTTGGCCCTTTGACTGATGCAATCATTTGGAAAGGAAAAAGTAGAAAAGCCTCTTTCCTGGCTCTACCCGACGTTTCATGCTGGCTGTTTCCTTTGAGAAATCTAGGTCCCCTTTTCCCGTCACTGGCCTTTTCATTCTCCAACCTTCAAAAAATGCTTTGAAAATAAGCTCTGTTTTCACTTGTGTGAAAGGGACACACACTGGCTCAGTGGCTAAGACACTGAGCTTGTCGATCAGAAAGATCAGCAGTTCAGCGGTTCAAATCCTTAGTGCCGTGTAATGGAATGAGCTCCTGTTACTTGTCCCAGCTTCTGCAACCTAGCAGTTTGAAAGCATGTAAAAATGCAAGTAGAGAAGCAGGGACCACCTTTGGTGAGAAGGTAACAGCATTCCATGCATCTTCGGCATTTAGTCATGCCAGCCACATGACCACGGAGATGTCTCTGAACAGTGCTGGCTCAATGGAGATGAGCACCACCCCCTAGAGTTGGGAACAACTAGCACATATGTGCAAGGGGAATCTTTACCTTGCTTGTGCCTGCTTGAAACACAACTTTCTACCAGTCCCCAGCTGATGCAGGTCCTTGTACATTAAAAGTCCCCACACTTTTTCCTATTTTACCCCAAAGTTGCAACTCATCTGGTCCTTTAAAAAAAAGAAAGAAGAAAAGTAATAAAATTCTTGCTGACTTTAAATCTGCTCATCCTGTCTGTTGGGGCCACCCTAACCATCACAGGGCTGCCTCTAATGAACACAAACATCAAGTTCTCTCCAGTAGAGAAACAAAGAGTGACTTAAACAAGCAAATTTCCCAGAATTTTCAGTCACTTTGCAACAGAGCTCATCAGCAGTGGGATTCCCTACCAGTTCACAAATGTGAGTGTGCTTGCTGTCGCACTTTGCTCACATGTGCTGTCTCTGCATTATGGCGGTGTGGGTGGGCAGAGTCTCCCGCAGCCACCCCTACTGGTTCGCCAGAACCAGAGATAACTGCCTGAATACCACCTCTGAGATCAGTGCTGGTGTAGAAACACAGAACTGCTTTCACACGGATATAGAATTCTGTATGTGAAAGTGTCCATGATTCCCAGAAGCTCTGCAGGCTGGCTTTTGAGGAGAGTGAAAGAAACCTTTGGAGGTAAAGAAGTAAAGGGAAAGTTTGGAAACTTGTAAGGAATAATTCTGCTTTGGCTTAGAAATAAGTTGGACTATTTCACAATGCTGGTGAAAGAGAATTTTTATTCATTAACCTCAAGTCCAATGCAACTCTTAAGACAATTTGTTGCTTTTGCATGACACATTCTGATGGGCAAAAAATAAAAGGCTTTTAAAGAAACAAATAAGATACTCTCCTGCTTTCTGTCTCTTCTCAACCTGTCCAGGTTTCAACACTTTCTATATAGATAAGGTTGCTTCTGCCAAAGAGATGGCTTACTATTGATGGCATTAACCCAGGAATGGGTAATGATATGAAAAAACCTGTGAATTCAATTTCAGTTACTTGCCGCAAATTCCTGGCTGAAAATGTGGGATGGGAAACAAATGTGAGCAGGGAATTAAAATCTAAATTCTAAAGAGGCTGGATCCCTTTAGTGGAGTTTTCAAGCTGTTATATAAAGAAACAGCAGCAACAATGGCAGCCATCTTATACAAGGACAATAATGAACATAAGCATACTCGATGGTTGATTGGTGGAATTATACATAATTGAAAACAGTGATATACAAATATAAATTGTTGGTAAATCTCTTTCACATTGGGATCTGTGATTATATAAAAGTATATTGTTATCAAACAGACAATCGAGAATGTAAGGGAATTAGGTTTATTGAAAAAAAATATTAATTGTTGTAATTGAATATACATTGTACAATGAAAGTGAGGTATTTAGTTAGATGAAAAATCTGTGATTGTAAATGTAATTGAGAATATGGATGCAAAAANTCCCTTACTGTCATATGTTGAGGACTACCTATAGATGCTGTGACTGCTGCACAGTAAACTATTACTATAAATGTAAACAATCTGAATTGCTGTCATACAAATGAATCAGTAAAAGAAAGCTTTTCTTTTAAAAATTTCTAACAGGCTGAAGATGACCTAACTTTCTCTGAAGAATCAGATATTAATCGAACAGCCAAAGCTTTTGAAGATCAGCAATACATATTTGGGCATTACATTGAGAAACTTTGGGCTTATTTAACCATTCAACAGCTTTTGGAAAAACGGTAATGAAGGATATTTTCCTCATGATACATTAGTTTAGAAATTTTATAGAAATATCCAACGAAGTAGCAATCCTACGGGTAATTACCTTGGCATAAGCCCCATTAAACACAGTGTGTTTGCATCTGTCACATTGATTTGTAGAATTTCTAAACCACATGTTCATTGTTAAAAAACAATATCAGACGGAAACATTTAAAAACACAATTCATGATAAAACTTAAAAGAACCAAGGATTTAACTAAATAACCCCCTCCTAAAACCCCATAGAAAAAACAAAACAGCTCAATATGTAGTGGAGCTATAATTATAGCATTATAAATAATGCAATACTTACCCTATTTTCATTTGTTCTAAAATTTTATTAAAACATTGTGCAGCTTGAATCCAAAATGGCTCTATGTGGCTTGCATAATTAAAACACAACAGAAAACAATTAAAAAGAGAGAATTAAAAAGAAATGCCTTTCGTGTCAGTATCAGAATTTTATACCAACAGCCGTTTAAATGTAATTAACAGCGCAAACTCTACATTGGTGTATCAAGCTATGAAAGTATTGTACAACTAACTAAGATATTAGGTGGCAGGTGCCTTCCAATAAAGTAATCATTCTTGTCTTCAATTTCAGACTCTACAAAATGTTCATAAATGACATGCTCAGGATATGATGGAAACAGTCATTTCCATTTACTTTCCCCCAGTATTTAGTTGTCAAAGTATTACTGTATTTGAACATAGAGCTTTGGTTACTATTGTAGATATCAGTCATTTTTTGTTCATGTATTACATCCTTTAAAAAGAAAAAAGAAAGAAGGCCTTTATGCCACTGGCTCTAAATACTTCTAGTGGTCAGTAATATATTAGGTGTTGTTCCGTCATCTAGGAATTCAGCAAAGGGCGATGAGAAGACTAATCTTACTGCCAAAGCCCTGGAGATGTCTCTGAAGTATAAGTTTGTGACTCCTCTGACATCCATGGTGGTCACAAAGCCAGAAGACAATATTGATACAGCTGCAATTGCTGACAAGCCACTTGAAGGTACCCATATTTACTAACTTTTATAATGTCACCAGCAAAGGACATAAGTGATATTGTCACACATATGAAATAGCTGTATATTTACATGTGGAGATAGTCTAAAGCACTCCATTGAAGCAGCCACATAAGCTTGGGAAAGAATGCTATTGTTTTATTGATCCAGAAAGTGATGCTTTTATGGGCATCTCTCTCTCTCTCTCTCTCTCTCTCTCTCTCTCTCTCTCTCTCTCTCTCTCTCCCACCTCACAGGGTTGCTGTTGTGAAGAAAACAGGAGGAAGAGGGAGTATTACCACCTTGTGTTATTTATAAAAATAATAAAGGTGGTAGAAAAAAAATTAAATTCTCTTTCCTTCTTTTTACATCTTACTTCTGTCTTTTTAACAAAACATCTCTTTCCATCATGGCACTTCTATTTCTTCTTAACCCATTAATTCCTCCATATGTTTCTTTGATGACTTGATCTGCAGTCATTTTTTACTACATAATTTCCGCTCATTCATCCACACCTTAGCTTCATACACACCTTCCCTGCATTACTCATCATCTGTCCAGAAGATCAGGTTACCTTTATTCTGAACATTAAATTTTCCTCTTTCTCTTCTAGTTCATCCTTCTCTCCATCTACCTGCCCTTTGCCATTTCATTGTCTTATATTCCAAATTGCCAGAATCTAAGGTCTACAGATCTTGATTACTGTCATCCTTCATGATTTGGACAATTAAAGATTTAATATCCTACAATATGTTTTAGCAAGGTAGAGAAGATATAGATTAGTAGCTTAATCATAACCTAGCAGCAACACACTTGCTAATGGCATGGAAAATGCTGGTCAGTTGTGGTAAATTCGGCCAGTGTGAAACTAAAGTCTGGTGTTCTCTCAAGCATGTTTATGTTGTTCAATGCAAGTTAGGTTCTCCAATCCATAATAATGGTTCTTTCACAAGCCAGCATTCTATTGACCACAATCTATGAACAAGAGATCCATGCGATGCTTGGGATATGTCAAAGCAATAGAAAAAAATATTTGTAGCTCAGGGTTGAACTGTGGAGTCCTTGGTGCTCTCAGAGCATGGATATATATATATATATATATTTGGCAGATATTTCATTACCCAATTAGGTAACATCTTCAGGGCTAGAAAAGGGTGGGGTTTGCTCTCTGTTTATACACAGTAGCTACCCTGTCAGTGTTAGTGGGACTGTTGTTTATTCTTGATAGTTCCTTGATAGTATATTGGAGTTGGTAATTCCTTGCTTTCCCTTTGTTTCCCACTCCAAGCACCAAGGATTCCAGAGGGACAAGTGTTTATTTCACAGTCCTATAAAGATGTCATAAATCTTTATAGGACTGTAAATCATAAATGCTCTTGCAGTTATGCAAAGTAGCATGTTATTAATAATGTCATTCTTTTTTTGTTTTTCATCTTTTTATGTCTTGTTGGAACAGCTGAGGGTAAGTTTGACTTTTATTTTAATTTTTAACTTTAATTTTTTTAAAAAATAATTAAGGAAAATAACTAAATGGTATTTGGGGTTCATTGCTGCCAATGGTATAGATCTCAGGGCTTGTCTGTTGTATGTCAAAGCTGGCCATGTGAATGGACAAATATTTGGTCTGGATGATGAATGTTTGTAGGAATTGGCTACATTCATTAGAATGACATAAGTAGCATTGGGGCAATAATGTATCACAAGCTCCACATTTTCATATATCCATGGGACATTATAACACGTATGACAAAGAATGGGCTATTATATGCAATGCAGTGAGGTTGCTAATTCTGTGAAGTATGTGGAATGGCTAGAAGAATCATACTGAGAAATTGGAAAAGTAATTTTATTTCAGATTTTAATAAATGGTTATGTGTGGAAATGTGTGACCTATCTACTTTGGAAAGAGAATTTTCTACTGATCAAAGCAATATGTTATACTCTGGCAGCAATTTTGTGAAATTTTACAATAATATTTTGTGTTGATTATATTAGTGTATTTATTAGTAAACCAGTGACTTTTGCTAACATGTGACATGTAAGCATTTATCCCCTTTTTTCTCTTTGCTGGTTAGGATTGGGTTTTTCCCCTCTTAATTTCTCCCATTTTTCTTTTGGTTTCTATTTTTTTAAGTGTAAAATTGTTTTGTTAATTGTCTAGATTAAGTGTGTAAAATTAAAATTAAAAAAATGCTCCTTTTCTCTATAATATATTTAGAATACATTTGAAAAAGTAATTGAAGGAACTGATTTAAATGCTGGCAGATTTTCTGGATATTTTGATCCTTCAGAAATTCATCTGTAGAAATTCCTAAGAACAAAATAATACTTCAGAAAAGTGGGGATTTGGAGTACTTTTCCTTATTCACATTAATGTAATTCTTTGTATATCTTTCATTTGCAGCTACTCGACAATGTAAGTGACAATTATATATTTCTGAACTACCTCGTTTCATTAAAAAGGAATTGGATAAAATTGTTCTGTGACATTGCTTCTGAACTGATGGAAAATACTGCTATGCAATATTTAAAAAAAACCACAGATACACATTATTTTCCTTGTTTCAGTTTGCATAATAATCAATTTGCTTGTGAAACTGAAAAATGTATGGCTTTTTTCAGTTGGGTTTTATTGTTTTGCAGTAAAAGAATAGTTATACACTGCTCCAAAATCTCTAGTGAGAAATGGCATATAAAGAAATGTTATAGATAGATAGATAGATAGATAGATAGATAGATAGATAGATAGATAGATAGATAGATAGATAGATAGATAGATAGATGATAGTTATATAGATAGATATAACCACTTAGAGTCTCCAAGAGAATCTCCATCAATTTGTCTTTTGACAATAAGCATTTTAAAGCTATTTAGTGCCATGACCATCTATGCCAGGGGTGTCAAACCCAAGGCCCACGGGCCGCATCTGGCCCACACAATGCTTAAATCTGTCCCATGGGGCCAATCTGGAAATATCAAATGACAAATACCCACTGCCTCTGCCAGCCAAAACGGGCCATAGGGTGTGTGTATGTGCCCCCACTCAGCCCGTTTTTGGCTTCCACAGTCTCCAGTAGCACCGTGGGGCCTGTTTTTGGACAGAGGAGTGCTTCTGGAGGCTGGGGAGTACTGTAGAAAGAAAGAAGGGGAGAAGCGCATCTTGAACCTGTGTCAAATGTCCATTATGACTATGCCCACCCCAGGCCATGCTCACCCCCCACCTACTATGACCAAGCCCACCCCCAGCCACCCCACTCCCTATCCATCCAAGGTCAAACATAACCCTGATGTGTCCCTCAATGAAATCGAATTTGACACCCCTGATCTATGGAATGTCCTTTTACTCAGAATCTGGCTTCTTTACAGGCATAAATCTAAGTTATTATTGTGTTCAGTGTAGCTACCTCTAAAGTGGGCTGCTTCCCATTGGGGAAATCTTATAAAAGAACATGACTAACTGCTTGAAGGATTATCAATGCATGACTGCATTGACATACTTCAGGATAATCCTTCAAGCAGTTAAAATAAACTGCCTTAATAAAAGCAACTCACTGAAAAGCAATGTCAGGGTTTTTTTTTTTGAGGGAAATGTTGATATATGGACTGCCCATGCTCATTACTGCCTGCAGAATATTCTCTTGGAAATGATTGTTAAAATCAGGATGAAAACTGAGATAAAATTCCAGTACTCCTTAAAGTGGGTAAAAAAACCAGCTGTCCTATTTTCAATTGTGTAACCCTTTTCCCTTTTTACCCCTATGCAGTAGTACCAGCATCTTCTTATCCATCGTATTCCTCCTCAACCCCTAGTCACAGGTACACAAGTGGTAAGTTTCATTTAATATCCTTTTTTGGTAAATAGAAAGGAGAAAAGCGTAATATCTAAAGTCTGCTGGTAAACACTTTATATTGTGATTATTTTACCATAAAACACATTAGTAATATATATGGGTTCCATCCAGTGGGGGGGGGGTGTTCAAATAATTTAACAACCGGTTCACCCAGGGTCATGTTGGCTGTCATGTTCCATTCCCATCCAGTTCCACTGCACATGTGGGACAAGCCTCCTGCGATGGCCATCCTGACCCTGGTTGTATAATTACACCCCTCCCTCCTTATTAAAGGGCGCTGCACTGTGCTGCAATGGAGAAATGGGCAACAGAGCACCCAGCACAAGGGAAGGAGGAGGAGCAGGGAGAAGAAAGAGGGAAAGTGGCCTTCTCCTTCCCTCGCAGCGGCCGCTCCATTGCCCATTTTTTCCATTGCAACACAGCGCAGAGCCCAGGATTCATTTTGATAGCTGGATGGGTGGGTGGATAATATAACAACCAGTTTACCTGAACTGGTGCAAACCAGCTGAATCCCACCACTGGTCCCATCTAATTTGGAGGTTTTTGACTATGCTAAAAGAGTAGCATATAGACCCCTTTTTCATAGGTTATATCCTTTTTGTTTCTAGTTTTCTCTAACTGTGGTTTGCCATGCCATGAAACCTGGGAAATAATAATTTAGTTAGCATGACTGAAAATCCTGTCTTGCCAAACCATTTGCAAGCAGTTCTCGATTAGCAATGGCAACTGGAATTGGAATTTCCATCGCTAAGTGATGCAACAGTAAAGTGCAACATCGTGTGACTGCATCGCTTAGCAACAGCAACCCCGGCAATCTCTACTGCCATCATTAAGCAAGGATCACAGGTCCTTAAGTGAGTTCCAGGTGACTTGCAAATAGGCCAACAGGCAGGTAAGATGTAGTGCATGGTGCAAGCATAGCAGTTTAGGAATGGCTGCTGCCAGGCAGAAAAGGATGTGAGTGATTTACTAGAGTGACTTGCAACCTTCCCTGTCAATTTCCTCGTTGACTTTGCTTGTGGGGAGCCAGCAGAGAAGGTTGCAAAAGGCAAACATAAGATCATGGGAAACTGCAACCCCTTGAAAGTGTGAACCAGTTGTCAAGTGCCCAAGTCACAGTCACGTGACTGTGGGAGTACTGTGATGGCTGGAACTTCGAAGACTGGTAGCACGTAAGTCTTCTTTTTCAGTACCATTGTAACTTTGAACAGTCACTTAAAGAATGACTGGTAATGAAGAAGTATCTCTATAGCTATGTCATCATCTCATTCAAAACGTTAATCAGATGGTTCATCAATTACAGCAAACACAGGTTAGAAAAATCTGGGGTATGGACAAGAGAATTTCTGTACAAAAGAAGATTAGTAGGTGAATCTAAATCTAAAACTCCACAGCAAACTTTATATGAAAATATTTCCATCACATATTCGCATTGCACTCATGTCAGAAGCACCGAGACGTTTCTGGGTTGAAAAGATTAGTTGGGGGACATCCAATTGGAGGCTTCTTTCATGTCCCTGGCAAGAGCTGGACGGAAGGATGGGAGCTCACAAAATGTTGCTACCTTCAACACAAATTGAGTGGCACACTTAAATTATCATCATACTGAAATTATTATAGTATGTGAAACAAATTCATAGGAGATATAATTTAGCCATAGAATTTCAATAAAATGGCTTTGGAATTAAATCTCAAATGTGCAAAGTGAAATCTTAACAAACAGTGATGTAAAAGTCATAATGCAGTCTGTTTGGCTTTAGAGTCTCGTGGGAATGTAATTGGATTAAAAGCAACATAGCCATTGTGTATTGTCCATCATGGCTTATAACAGTGAGATGTACTTAGCTATCTGGGACTTATGCAACCAGTAGTGGTTAAAACAAACCATGACTGACTACAATGCCAATCAAACACCTGAGTTCAGACTCTTTTTTGAATATGTTGATGACATTAATGATAAAAGGGGCAAAATATATCATAAGGCATAATTCTAAAGAAGGCTTTGTATGAGAATCAAAGATCAAGTGGCCCATTTCTCTTTGCAGTTGATGGCGATCCACATTTCATCATAGACATCCCAGAAAAAGATGATCATCTTTGCTTTAACATTTATGAAGATCCAGGGAAAATTTTAAACTTAATCAGTGATCCTAGTACAGGTAAGTTGAAATGATCCTGCCAAGGCACAGGTTTCTTAGTTCATCTGCTACCTAAAAATTAGCTCAGATATTTGTGTATTTATTGATTTAATTAATTAGAAAACACAGTGCATCCAAGGCAGTTACAAAACAGCTGAACTAACACTATGGCCTGATGCCTGGAGGAAAGAGCCATATTTTCACAGCTTTACAAAATAGTAGAAAGACTGGGGCCACCCAAATCTTTAAGGAGGGGGCAGGGTGGAAGGTGCCTTTCCATAGAATGAGTTTGTAACAGAGAAAGAACTGAACTGAAAAGGGCAAATTTATTATTATAATGATTTTGCAGGGCATAAAATATATTATTTCATTGCACTAATATATTTCTATAGCTATTGAAAACTGCTTGATAATCCTTTAATTGTATTTATCTATAGAATAAAATCAAATTGCTTTCCGCTGAAATAAACCTAGAAAGGGTATCTCTTCTTCATCCTTTCTTAAAGGCATTACTGTCAATGGACAGCTAATTGGATATAAGCAGAGCAGGAATGATGTGCAGCCACAGAACAGTTATATCGGTAGACTTGGGATTCTCAATGAAGAACTGAATTTAAAGCTTGAAGTAACTCCTGAGAGAATCATTCTGCACAATGGCACAAAGCAGATGACATTCACATGGTTGGATGAAGTTACCTTACTATATCCTACGTAAGAGCCCAAATCACATTTAAAAGTAAAGTGGACTTGAGTCAAGAAACTCAAAGAAGGATGCTGACCCATCAGTGTTTTATTTTATTATTAAATTCATGTTTATTATGCTCTTGCAGACGCGAGCAGTATCATGGTCTGATTCCTGTTTTAACCACACAACAAGAATATTGAGCTATGTTGAAAGATAACAACTGATCTGAACTTTAGCCATGGTTAAACAGATATTTGGAGCCTTGGTATCTGAATATGCTTGATAATTGTACTAATTCCATGAGACAATCTCTCTTTCTCTCTCTCTTCCTTTCCCTCCCCCCACTTCTGTGTGTGTGAGAGAGTGGGGCGGGGGAGAGGTTAGACAATTTTGCTATCTCTCACT